GCCTGGCCGACCTTCATCAGCTCCTCCTGGAGGTCCTTGGTCATGGTCTTCAGGAGCTCGGTGTCGGGCTCGGCCTCTGCGACCTTGTCCTTCAGGGCCTGCAGCTTGGGGTCGATGCTGGCCTTCAGATCTGCGGGCACCTTGTCACCCAGGTCGGACAGCTGCTTCTCGGTCTGGTACACCAGGCTCTCCGCGTTGTTCTTGGTCTCCACGGCGTCCTTGCGCTTGCTATCCTCCGCAGCGTTGGCCTCGGCATCCTGCACCATCTTGTCGACGTCCGTTTTGTCCAGGGTGGAGGATCCAGCGATGGTGATGGTCTGCTCCTTGCCAGTGCCGCGGTCCTTCGCACCGACGTTCAGGATGCCGTTGGCATCGATGTCAAAGGTCACCTCGATCTGGGGAACGCCTCGGGGTGCCGGTGGCACGCCATCCAGGCGGAAGGTTCCCAGAATCTTGTTGTCCTTCGCGAACTGCCGCTCGCCCTGCAGCACAACAATCTCCACGGATGGCTGAGAGTCCGTGGCGGTGGAGAAGACCTGCAAGGCACACATCTAAGCAATCCAGCAACAAAGACTCGAGCAACGGCCTGCTCAACTGGTCTCTACGACATGCGGCTTCATGTACGCGCACCCACTGCAGGCCCCATGGCAAGCGAGGCGAACAGCCTGCCTCGGTTTTCTTGGTGGGAATCGTGGTGTTTCGGGGAATCAGCACCGTGGCCACGCCACCCAGAGTCTCCACACCCAGGGACAGGGGCGTCACATCTAGCAGGACGATGTCCTTCACATCACCTGCCAGAACGCCAGCCTGCACTGCTGCACCCACAGCCACGACCTCGTCCGGGTTCACGCTCTGGTTGGGCTTCTTGCCGCCAACGAGCTCTGAGGCCAGGGACTGGATGGAAGGGATTCGGGTGGAGCCGCCCACGAGCACGATCTCGTTGATCTCGCTGGCACTAATCTTGGAATCCTTCAAGGCATTCTCCACTGGAGTCCTGCATGCAGCCACTGCGCAACACACGGATC